TATTTAATTATCTTAGAACTTTTGTTTTTTTTTTTTTTATAATTGTTCTAACATATGTCATTATCTTACAAGTTAAAGGTGCAATTAATGTATTTTTAACTTTTAAGTCATACAAAAAATAAAAAAAATGATATTTATTTTAGCACTAATTCCACTTACATTAATTTAATTGAGTAATTGCTAAAATTAAAATCAACATTTATATTTTCTTTTTCTTTATAAAATTAACATTTATTTTTTCTATATGACCTAAAAGTTAAAATATGGAATAATTACACTTTTAACTTATGTCCTAAAATATAGATTAGAAAAATTCATTAATAAAAATGTGCAATTAGTACCCCTTAATATGTAATATGAGGTTACAAGTTAGATAAACTCTTACTTTTATCACTAATATCAAATTAAAATTACCTTTTAATTTTTTTTATAAATTAATTTATAAAATATAATTAATACATCATTAACTTGTATTAAAATACATATTAAAAATACACTAGTGATCATCAGTGCATCACCAATCTTGAAAGTGACGTATATAGGTTAAACAATATATAGCATTTTCGCAAAGTTTGGCATTGTTTACTTTGGTGTTTTTTGTTAATTGATAGTGATAAATGTTAACTCATATTAGTTTACAATTTACTTACATGTCTAAATATTTTATTATACTATTTAGGAAAAAAAAATTATAAGACAAAAAAATTAACAAAAGTAATTACATCTTTAAACTCTATCAGTAATCAAAAAATTAAGAGTTTATTCGGTAATCAGCTTCTGATATTTTTAACATCTGCAGATTACGAAAACGAATTAATTAATCTACTTCCAGCAAGCAGCTATAAGAATTAAAAACAGATGGTACTAAGAATTTGGACTCATTTTGAGTACAGTGAGCATTTTCCAACCTGAACTTTTTCCTACTCCTTGTTCATGCCTTTCACACTAAGATTAAGAGGTATAATAACAATATTAAAATTTTCATGCCATAATGTTTCTTTTAGGATTCTGCTCTTGTTCTTCTCTCTTGTTTGTGAATTAGTATTCTTTCCATGGAAAAAGTTCATATATTATTCTTTCGAGTCTTTTAGACATTATAAAGAATAACAAGTAAAGCTAAAGCAAAAGCCAAGTCTTTTCCAAACCGCATCAATATTAGTTGGAAAGCAATTCAAATTAACTATTTATGAAAGGGCTCACCTTTTAGCATATAAATACAATATTTGACTAGATGAAATTTAATTGGTTAATTTTTTTGACTACTTTCTTTCTTTGAAACTCTCATATAAAGTATGCAAACTAACTAAAGCAAGGCCCGGGAACATTATCAAAACAAAAGAAATCAAAATGACAGAATATTAAATATTTATTTTGAACAAAAATGTATGTATGGAACACAATGAATTATCTTCATACAATTATCTATCCTAATAAGAGCAAAAAAAAAATTAAATCATATCGCTAACTCTTCGTTGTTGTCATGACAAAACTTTTTTCATTGTCAATTATTAGGATTTGATGTTCAATTATTGAAATTAGGAGATTGCCTACTAGTAAGGACGAAATTGCCTACTAGTAAGGACGAAACTTTTCAATATATTTTTAATCAAGGATATAACATTTTTCTCTTTATTAATCAAAGCTAGCACTTTTAAAAATGGCAGAACCCTCAAATCAGCCCCTGACAAATATGGGTAGGGACGAATCCACCCCTCAAAAAAAAGCAGGGACAAATGACACCCCCAAAGTATCGATTTGGTCAAATCGATCATTATCTAACGGGTGA